CTTTCTCCCCACCCACCCCCTCCCTACGTCTCTCCCTCCAGACACCGGCTGTCAACGCGCGAAAAACCGCTCCCACGTCCCTGCCGCATGCCCCTCTTTCTCTAGCCTCTTTCGCTGCTGTCCCATTGAATATTTCCCAATCACAGTACAGAAACCGGCTCCTGGACAGCACAGTCCTCCTCGTTCTCCTCCTGGCTAATCCAACAATCAGTGACGGTTTCCAACTTCACGCTGTTATTTCCCCCACCAAACAGCTTTTGTCCTGATTGGTGCGGTATTGTGTAGATCTAGTAGCCCGTTGTTCCTTGGTGACATAATAGGCCTACAGTACCCCGGGTGTGCGCATACTGTGACTCCACGACTGGGAGCAGGGAGTTCTTCTTTGTACGGTCAGTATTTGATACTTTTGATCCCTTCCAGTTACAGAGTGATCTGTAATCAAACGCCAGTAACAATGTATGATAATCTCTGTCTCTCTGTCTCTCTATCTCTCTGTCTCTCTGTCTCTCTGTCTCTCTGTCTCTCTGTCTCTCTCTGTCTCTCTGTATGTGCGCGCGCGCGCGCGCGCGCGTGCGTGTGTATGTGTGTGTGTGTGTGTGTGTGTTTGTGTATCTATCTATCTATCTATCTATCTATCTATCTATCTATCTATCTATCTATCTATCATCGGTTCACCTGTATCATCCACGTGTAAAGCGACACTTTTAAGAATCTATCTACCAAAATGAACCCTCTATCTCTCTTTTTATCTCTTCCTACCCCTCCTCTCTCTCTCTTTCTCTCTCTCTCCCTCTCTCTCTCTCTCTCTCTCTCTATCTCTTTCTCTCTCTCTCTCTCTCTTTCCTTTTTTGTCTCTCTCTCTATTTCTTTTCATTAAACGGTCTGTATTTCTCATAAATGTTCGATGCTTTGATCTACATTAGGGACCTGTTAGAGGGTGCAAACAGTGATTAGTGCTCAAATGGTGTGATATTGTGTGAATGTTGGGGGTTGGAATGGTTGTTTTGGATTAGGGTTTCTCTATTATACGTGTCTCTGTGTGTATTGTACTAGGGTTGATGTGGTGGCAGTGAAATAGTAGCCGATTTATTTGTATGTACTGGCTAGTCGAAAAGGTGTGTGTGCATTCACAGCGAGGCTTTTAAAAAGAATTAGTATGTCATGTCTGATTGTGACATAATATTTTATCAGTCTAGCTTTCTAGCTAGCTATCCATCGAGCTACATACTGTTAAGTTTGTTTTACCATAGGCCTACCGGCTTACGTACCTACCCACAATCAAATCTGTCTTTCTGTGTTTTCTATGTATTCCCTCCTCTCTCTCTCTCTCTCTTTCTGTCTTTCCTCCTTTTTCCTTTTCCTGTTTTGTTTCTGTCTGTCTGTCTGTCTGTCTGTCTGTCTGTCTGTCTGTCTGTCTGTCTGTCT